ATTTGGGGGTTATGGACCTGCAAAAATTTTGAGAAGCACTCCAAAAATTTTTTCGGAGTACGTGGCTAATGCCACACACCTTCGTTTGAAAAGATTTTTTGCCCCCCCCCCCGGTCGGAAATCGTAGGAAATCGCCACTGGTATACATCGCTTTACGAAGCACCAATTCGACCAAGCGAACTTCTCTTGTGAGACAAATCTTTCCAGTTGATTCTCAAACTTTTTTAAGACAATACAGTGTGCTCATCGGCGTACTCATCACCGCATGATCTGCTAAAAACAATAAGTTTATGGGCAATAAGTTTTACTGTGTACAAGTTACCTCTGTTGATAAATGTATGTACTTGGCCTTGCAAACAAGGCTCGGCACAGTTGCTTATAAGCAGGGTGGGTATCGTTTTTGGAACAAAAAAGAAAAGGGATATCATTTCTGCGGTCCGAAAAAACTTTGGTTTTTTAGTCGACGTTTTTGATTTTGGGTCAAAGAAGACTTCTTAAAATTTTTCGAATCAGAAGGGACCCGTTTTTTGCATATTCGGAAAGCCACCTCATGCCGAGCCCTGCTTGCAAGCACTTGCTACTTCATAGTAGCATAAGAATTGCTTTCACGTTTTCACGAATTTTGGTGACTGTAGGACACCCGAAATTGTTGAAAATCATCTAATTTAAAACTTGTCTTTCTAATAAAATGGCGCTGCTCCTTTCGAACTTTTCAGTCCAAATGCGAAAACACGCTTATCTGTTGGATTGTTTTTCGGATCTCATAATCACATAAACTAAATTTATTTCAGCTACAAAGCTAATGGCGAAAGGAGCTGTGACAACTGCTGATTTTAGTTTTTTTGTCATTAAGCTTGCCCTTCGAACTTTAGGACAGATGTAAGAAAAAAATACTGCTTACACAAGAAATTTTGACTAATGGGCTGCGCCAGATTGAAATATTTCGAGCCCTTGGTTTGACTAGATGTACTTCCTTTGAAGTGGAATTATATAATATTATAATGGCCCTCATATGACACAGAAGATTTTTTTCGAAACAAGAAGCACGAGGCACTGTTTAGATTACACCCATTTATCGTTGTAAATTTTATCTCCTATTGACCGTCCATATTTCTATTTCTTTTCTACAAATTTGCAATGTCATTGCTATTAATATGCAACCCATTCTGCAAAGTATCGTCTGTAATCACGCTGAGTATCTTCAGCTGTTAAACTTCTCTTCCCATGCTTTGATGACAGAGAAGAATGTTTCGTGAAATACTACTATTATTCACGCTGTTGCATATTACGTTCCAGCTACGGTGTCCAGAAGTTTCACGAGGTAGGCATCGAGTGACTCTACATTTCTTTTCCAGATTTATACAAAAAACTATGATTTTCCGTTCCGCCTTTCCCTTGGACGGATTTTTGTTTATAGAAACTTCTCCTCTAGATCCAGATCCTCTACTCCTCAGTAGTGGTAGAGGATCTGGATTAATTTAATAATAGGAAAATAATAATAGAATAGAAAAAGAAGTAGAAAAAAATAATGAGAAATAATTTAAAAGTATTTATTTGTTTATTATTATTATTATTAATATTATTAGTATTATTATTGTTAGTGTTAGTTTTATTATTGTTATTGGTACTTATCTATTTATTCAAATAATTTAATAGCAAAAGATTTTTGAGAAAAGTTTGAAAGCTTATATTTATATCGCAAGCCTTGTGGTACGATATTCTCTGTGTGGTGAAGAGAGAATGAACTAGTTTCAATATGTTTGTTTTTCTTGTTTTCTCATTTCAGTATATCATTTATAGCATCATTTTAGATTTTTTTTTGGTTGTTCGTAATATACGTGTGCACAACTAACAACATATATAATTTTGACTCTGGAAGTTTTGCAGACTTATAGTTAAACTAGCTGGGTTACCCGGCTCCGCCGTATCCGGACCAAACTTGGCACACATACACTTCGGGCCCCGGCGGGTGTCACAGTCCACTTTTCGTTATCGATCGATGTCGATTTTACCGATTTTTATCGATTTTTTGCAAAGTTTGAGCTAGGGGGCTGGGAGTTGGCACAGGGGTGTAATCGAGCATGCTGATCACCCCCCTTGGGGATGATCAGCATGCTCGATTACCCCCCTGTGCCAACTCCCAGCCCCCTAGCTCAAACTTTGCAAAAAATCGATAAAATCGATAAAAGTAATCGATAATCCTGAAAACCAATATTGTATTCGGAATCCCCATGCTCGATTACCCCCCTGTGCCAACTCCCAGCCCCCTAGCTCAAACTTTGCAAAAAATCGATAAAATCGATAAAAGTAATCGATAATCCTGAAAACCAATATTGTATTCGGAATCCCCATGCTCGATTACCCCCCTGTGCCAACTCCCAGCCCCGTAGGTGAACTCAGCAAAAAAATCGATAAAAATCGATAAAATCGATGTCGATCGATGACGAAAAGTAGCCTATGACACCCGCCGGGGCCCGAAGTGTATGTGTGCCAAGTTTGGTCCGGATCGGTTCAGAAATGGAATTTTCTATTCGGAACATACGTACAGACAGACATACAGACAGACATACATACATACAAACAGATATTCAGCTTTATATATAAGATAAGTTTTATTTTCATAGTACAAATGGAGTTCTTTTAAGGCATTTGAAAATAAAAGATGATTTCGTGTGAATATGTTTACATGCTAATCAAAACTCTACTTCAAACATCAAGCTGGTGTGTTCCCACTTTGTCACTTTTTTCATTGAAATTTGTTTTATCTCCATTTTCTTTCTATTTTACTACAGATAATCAATATCCTTGGACTGATTTTGGAACATTGATTCGAACAATCATCTCGGTATAGGCTTTAATTCAAACTCACTGTTGCTTGAGAAGTTAGTCGAGTAAGGTTAATTGCCTGAGTCAAGAAAATAGAGAATTATGAACATATCGATGGCGTACCCAGGTTTCGGCTCGGGGGAGGGGGGCGCGACAAAAATTGTTTATGAAGGTGCGTGGCGTCAGCGACGCACTCCGAAAATTTTGGGGTGCATTTTAGAAATTTTCGCGGCTAACCCCGAAAAAATTTGTTATAAGGCTAATATGGGATTTAAAAATTTTTTAAAAATATTTTAATTATTTACAAGTATGAACAAGTCACTGCACAATTTTATAGCTCATGTAAGCAACTTTCAAAAATTTCGCGACCCGTTTTCGGGGGGAGGGGGCGCCCCTCCCCTCCTCGGTACGCCACTGGAACATATAGATGAAAGCGAATGTATGTATAAGGTTGAACCGAAGTTTGTTTGTAGTTTGATTGTTTTTTTTTCTGAAACAATCGTCACTTCTTTCCTTTATAATGGTTTTGCTTAGCATTCACCGGAAACAAAAGAGATGACATGGAGTCTTCAAAAGCACAGTCTTTCTTGCGTTTGCAGAGGCAAAATCGGAAAAAGAAAGATTATTCGGTCATTAGTTTTAAGCGAGCCGCTAATCAGCCCGAACATTAAAATCTCAAACCTTCTCATAAAATAATGACCTTTTCTTTCTAAGTGAACAATGTTTATGGTAATCGAGCCTGTCGGAAAATTTTGATTTTCGAGAAATAATAACAACAATACAATATAGCGAAATTGGTTGCACTTCCCTCGTAAATTAACTTTTTTTAGAGATGAGCATGAGTTTTCATTCACTCTTGCTCATTTATAGGTAACTAGCTGGCTTGCCCGGCTCCGCCGGGCCTGCCAGCTAGACCCGTGTACGTATGTTCCGGATAGAAATGTTTATTTCTGAACCGATTGGGACCGAACTTTGCACACATACTCTTCGGGGCGGGGAGCCTGTCACAGTCCACTTTTCGTTATCGATCGATGTCGATTTTACCGATTTTTTGCAAAATTTGAGCTAGGGGGCTAGGATTTTGCACAGGGGGGTAATCGAGCATGCTGATCACCCCCTTCGGGGTGATCAGCATGCTCGATTACCCCCCTCTGCCAAATCCCAGCCCTCTAGCTCGAATTTTGCAAAAAATCGATAAAATCGATATCGATCGATAACGAAAAGTAGCCTATGACACGCTCCCTGCCCCGAAGTATATGTGTGCCAAGTTTGGTCCAAATCGGTTCAGAAATAAAAATTTCTATTCCGCACATACGTACAGACATACATACATACATACAGACAGACAGACAGACATTCAGCTTTATATATAAGATAAATGAATTTAATGTGAATGCTTGCTACGGATTTTACTGCAATGTTCTTGAGATTTGGCTAGCTTTCTTGAAATTACAATAGTTTAAGTGTTCTTTGTTTGCTTTTATCTTTCTCAAGTTCATCAAACTTTGAGGCGCTAAAAAAACGAGTTTCTCTTGCTCGCTTGAGAATTTGCAAAAAACATGCAAAACATTTGAGATAGAAAGATGTGACACATTAAAGACGTTAATCATAGATTTTCGCCATTGATATTCAATCTCAATAAGATACAATATTTTTGACTTGACGAGACATCACGATTTGAAAACTTACTTGAAAGTCGTAGTTTCTCTAAAAGTAAAAAAGGCAAAAATATCGTTGTGCAAGTGACCTCAGAGAGATTATTTTTTTATTTTCAGACTGAGCACATTTTGAAGTGGTAGAGATGAAAAATTCGGGTTGAGCATTCTTTTTCAATCATCATTTTGGCATATATACTACTCATAGTCTACATATCGCTACATGCTACAACAGCTACTTTGTTCAATTTTTGGCTCACCCTAGAGTGTAGGAATAAATAAATAAATAAATACTTTTTATGTGCCACATTTTATAGAAAAAGGAGAACTGAAAATGCGAAACTATCCATCCGGATATTCATACACAAACACATATGCAATTTAAGTAATATTGTAAGAGTAAACTAGCGCATTTCAATAGCAAATGTGTGTAATTAACATGAGGACAGCTTTATCTAACAAAACTGATATTTGCCGAATTTAGGAGAATGTTGTACCTCGAAGTTGCATCCGTCTTGCATGACAAAGCATTGCCTTAGATGGATCTCTAGGAACTGTCCAGCAAAGAGACCTGCTGTGTTCATAGGGAAAGGAGATCGTCGGCGATCTCCCCATAATGAGGTATGTAAAGATTGATTTGAGTCTTCTTTTCACCCAAAATGTTTATTTTCAGGCAAAATGTGGCACGGCAGAGAGAGGCTATCAGCCATGCACAAGCAAATTGATAGCGAACAAATTATTCAAGTCATGCTGTGAGCTGTACGTACCGGAAGAGTGTCACTTCATGTGTACATATGAAATCGACCAGAGCAAGACGAGAAATATGGTACTTCTTAATTTTGCTAGCGGGTTACAAAGAGTTTCATTCCTTAAAGTCAACTTTTGGATGGAGAGAAGATTCGTAATAATTGCTCAAGAAAACTCAAAGCTTCTGAAAGTTCATTCGCATAGTTGCATTATGCGCGACTGCTGCTGAAAATTTGCAAATTAGAGAGTAAAAAAGCGTTTATCAAGTTTCATTTTGCATGGACCTTGGCACGATACTTTGCAATCTCGCTATGCCGCACGGGTTTGTTAGGATGGCGACTAACGTTAGGCCGATTTAGGTTGTCCGGAAATTAATGCCCGTTTTGAATTTGGACCGCAATAAGTCATACACTTCTCATTTCTAAATAGGTTGCAAAGTACCATTCGATAGAGCAAGTTAAGCTCTACAAAACGGCTCTCTTGCTTTTGCAACAGCTCTCATCCACCTCGAGTTTCGAGCCAAAAACTAATTAAGAGAACGGAAATTTGCGTGCATTTGCCAAAGTGATGCTGTGCCGTCCCCACCTAGGTAGTTGTATACTGCAAGCCTGTAGAAGTAAAGACTTGAATTTTCAGCTCTCTACAAGCTTTAGTTTTCGAGAAAGAATATAGCTTTCCCTAGTTGGGTGGTCCGATAAAATTCAAATTTCTGAAACTAAAGCTTGTAGAGAGCCTGAAAATTCAAGTTTATACTTCTACAGGCTTGTGGTATACAACTACCTATGTGGGGACGGCACAGCATCACTTTGGCAAATGCACGAAAATTTCCGTTTTCCTGGTTTTTAACACGTTTCGGACCGGTGCTGCACATGGTGCAGCACGCTGCTGTGAGGGATCATTTTGACGCTTACAGGAGGGTTTCTGTTAGTCTAAGGTTATCAAGACAAAGATCTAAGCTCCTAATTCTCAAAAGACTCTGTAGAGCTATGCTGCCGATATTTGTTTAGGAGATATGAGGACAAATCGAACGACAGTTGCAACAAAGTGCGGCAACGCGAACGACGCGTGCGACGTTGCAACTTTCTTTGCTTCCATTTAAAAGAGAAAAGCCGTAGTTTCAATAATGATATGTGTCGCGTGCAACATAGATACTTTTGGATAGTATTAGAAACTGAGTTCTTGCTCCTATCTTATGAGAAAACAGAGAAATCCTTCCCAAGCGACAAAATTCAAACACTTCAAAATCACTCAGAACTTTAGGTATGGAGCTTATCTGACATGCTGACTACAGGTATAGCACACAGTTTGCGAACTAAGGCCTTTTTGTTGGCTAATAAGTGAAAGCACACTCTTTTTCGCCGCGCGTTTCGCGGTCCGAAACGTGTTAACAGAGGGAAAAATACGGCAAAGGCATATATAGATGTCCTATGCGGATAGTGTGCACGTGAGCAAGCAAGAATTTTTGTAAGATTTCTATGAACTGAGTTACGATTTTCTTCGATTTTTCGGACTGCTGAGTCTTTTCAGTTTTTGGCTCAAAACTCGAGGTGGATGAGAGCTGTTGCATAAGCAAGGTAGCCATCTTGTAGAGTTTGCTTTGTTCTATCGAATGGTACTTTGCACAATCTAGAAATGAGAAATGTATTATTGCGGTTATTCAAAACGGGCATTAATTTTCGGACAACCAGTGAATGTGCCATCCTTACGAACCTGTACGGCATAGCAAGATTGAAGAGCATTCAAAAAACGATTCTTAAACGTTAGTGAGCGCCTCTGCTTCTCTTCCAGAGCTTAAGAAATTTTGCAGAACACATATATCAGACCCCGTTTATTATATACTCACTTTCAGCTGCTCGAGCTTGTCAAGCAAAAACGATGCAGCATGCGGTATCTATCAGCCATACTATATTGTGCAAGTCAAAATAGGGACAACAGGAAATGCTGTGCGGATTTGGATCTTAATGCTACACAGTTGCAGGTATATGCGTTTCATGAATTATATAGAGATTTTGTGGTGTGGGGGGGCAATACATACGTAGTTAGGTTGAGTAAGTCTTGGACCGTTTTTGAAAACTCTAAAAAATTTCCATCCTCACCAACTCCGTCTTCAATTTGTTTTAAAAGCAGGAAATTATGTCCTCTCTGGCGCTGTCTAAAGAAAAAATAATAATTGCAGGTGGATCACGGTAATATTAGTTGATACAGAAACGATTAAATCATACCTTTCCAAAATTCGTTGAAAATCGTGAAAGGTACACACGAATTTCTATATTTTTGGAGTTTATTTGATGATAAATTTTCTAATTAGCGGAAAGTGGCAAAGAATATCTTTGTAAATAGTTAAGATTTTCAATTTTTTTACATTCAGGTTTCTAATCATGCACCAAAATGACGCTATATTATGCGTCATATACTTTCTGAACTTGAGCATTATTTGAGCGAGTTTTCAAAATGTTTTGTTGCGAGACTTATTAATATCAATTCGATATTTATGTAAAGGAAAAGTGCCAAAATTTTGAGAAGTTCGAATCCTCGAAGTTATGATGGTGGGACTGAGGGACCTTTGATCTTTCATCTTTCTCTTTTGTGAAATTTTCAACATTGTTACGGTATTCCGCAAGTACGGAACTAACAACATGGCTTCTGGCATGCTCACTCGAAGCTAAAGTAACCTGCTCTAAATGCTTTGCTTAATTTTCAATATTTCAAGGTCGGTTCTCGCTGTCTCCGAATGTGCGATCCATCCGGAATGGCAATAGAACGACTTACTAAAGAAGATGTAACATGTCTATACAACTGGAATGTCATCATGTACTGTCATCATGCGGGAATTCGAGAAATGTGATTGTCTGTAATGTAATACGTATGTTGCTGTCATAAGAAGAGGGATAAGGCGGAAGCATCTAAGAGCAATGCTCCTTGTGATCAATCAAGTTGTTGATGTAACAAGCTGGGAGTCTCCGATCATCCGTATAATGGGGCAGTTGTTGTATCGGCCTTAGGAACAAGTATCAAAAACTTTTCTTAAACTTTTCATTTCTGTAAATTTTCGGTTTCATACGCAAATTCTGTTGTGCCTTCTAGAGTTCACTGGTGCCAAGGAAAGTTTTGTACATATTGTTGTCAGTTTTAATAATGATGGTTGTGTGATGCTGTGCCAAAATTTCTGTGTGTCACATTTGTGAGCATAAATCAACTTCTTAGCACTCTTGCTTTGTTTTTGTTGAGGTGCAAGAACCAGATTTGCAAAAAAAAGCATCTATCCAATAGTTTAATAATGGGACGCGTACAAAAAGCGAGTCGATGCCCTCCTGCACTTGGGTTATGTATCAGCATTGCTTGTTGTTTGTGAAGCGCATTGTTTTGCATGCCAAGTACTTAGCTGTTGCTACTTGTTAGTTTACGAAGCTGTCACTTTTTCTTTCTTCTTTCCTTGATTTTCCCTTTTGCTTATAGATAGATTTCTTGAATTCTTATCAATTTATAGGCGCGATTGGCATTCGCAAATATTTCTGGCTATTTCAACATAATAAAAACTCGAGCTGCTGATACATTTTTTCTATTACAAAAAGAACCGTAGAACTTTGAAATGTGCATTCATTTGTAAGTCCAATGACTGTATACCATTATCCAAATGGGCGAAAAAGAAATCAGATCTATTGTCTGAAACTTCGAAACATGCAAAGCAGCTCTATTGTTTGTTTAAACCATTTTTTCCATTGCAAATCGTTTCCACGTTGCAGCACTTTTTTCATCAATATGCTTTCAGTCTCGTATTCGTAATGCCTCCATTATTTCTGGCTCAGTGTTGTTTGCTTTTTCACCCTTGACAGGTCTATTCATCAAGATATAATATACTTAGCTGGAGGGGAGTAATGGAGAAAAATAAATGTCTGTGCTATTTTTATTGGGAGTTTCTACAAATCTTTTACTGTTTCCACGCCTCAACAGAAATTCTTGTCTTTAAATACATTCTTTGAAGGAAGCCATCGCACTACGACGTTTTTGTTGCCATAAATATTCGCCACAGGTGAAGAGACGAAATTTCAAACTTTAAGGATTTTTTCTTCATCCTTGAATTGTTAGCAGTGGAGTGATGTATTTGCTTCCTTCTAAGAATAACACTACAAGGGAGTATGAGATTTATACTGCTTTGGAGGACATGGCATACCTATTCCAAATCCATTCCTTGTCTGCGGCGAATTTGTAAAGGTCCTTATGAGCAAAATTTGAATGCTTTATTAGTCTAAAAGTATCCTTAATTTTTCCTAGCGTCCAAATGAGGCAGCGGTGAGCGGCTCTATTTAAATTAAGAATACTTATTGCACAGAGTGATCCGACAATAGTCAAGCCCCGAAAAAATGTAACAACCGATATCATAGCTGCATTTGATTTTTTGTTATAAGATCTCATAACTTCTCGCTCAGGAACGAGCAAGATAGGAAAGGCAGAATTTGAACTATCGTTCCATGCACTTTGAAGCAGCATATATACATCTCGTATCAAAAGGCCACTTCGACTAACCACTCTATTACATTTAGTCGGTTTTGTCACGCTAAATACGTCGCAACAGAAGAAGTCATCGCAATCCTTTTTTTACCAAGATCTAGGAGTTCATCTGTAAATTTTATAGATCTGAACAGCTCTCATGTGTAGAGAAAGACCAATAACTCTTTCCGAGCAAGCGATCGGAAGTTTTCACAGAGAGTGTATGAGTGTAGAGACGGGGGCAGAGGTGATTAACACCAGAGCCGAATCCCATTTCATTGTGCCTCCACACTCTGTGTGTTGTTGATATATGCGTAGTATCAGAGCAGAGGAGTGATGGAGGCACACCTGACGAAGACTTGATAACAAGCTGCACTCGTCACAGACTTTTCGTTAAATCCTCGAAAGATTGTCCTTATCTTCGTTCGCACTTTTCGTGCACATATATTTCGTTCTTTTTACACAACAAATTTTTTCTGACGCCTATTCGTTGATCCATTCTCCAGCTCAACGCTTTGTCAAATCTACAAATATTTTTTGCTTGCATATAAATAAACCACCCCACGCCTATGTTTCTATCTTACTCTTCAAATTTTTATTCATAGCCTTTACTCCAGGACAATTCTCTCTATGCATGTTGATACTCACCGACACGCATACCAGCTGATAACGTAGCAGATAGCCCAGCCCTAAACGACCTGTCCTGTCCATTTCCCTTCCATTCGTGTCCATTTCAAATCAGTTCAAAATATTTCGGTGAAATGCCATATGTCGGGATTGGAGCGCAACAAGACAGTGAGTGCTATTTAAAAGCTAGAAATGATCTCTACCCGTGTCCGAGCTGATGTATCGCCGGGCAGCGGCTAATTTAAGATCTTTCATACTGTACGTGGCAGCTGTTTCAACTAGAAATTTTCCAGCGAAAACCTCATTACTGGGACCATCCATGTTAAAGGTCTACGGGATTATTGTTTTCACTATACTGTTAACCCTAGCAATTGCTGGGCTAGGAAAGCATCATTCACTTCATCCAATTCAACGGCCGAAGTTTGAAACTGTGGCAGGTAAATTTGATTTTTCCTAAATTTACGGGACTGTCACCCAAATTTCTATGTATTTTTTTGTTTTGTCAAAGCAGTGGCCATTCACTGGGTTGAAACATCTAAAGGCTTTTGTTAGAAAGTATAAAATTTTGGCTTAAAATGCTTGAAAGCTTCTTCAAACTGTTTTTACTTTTTGTGGCATAAATTGAATGCTCCTCAACATACATATCAGAAATTCTATTTGAATTGATTTTAATAGGCTGAAGATAATTCGTTGAATGTAAGCTATTCTTGGAGACATCGCATCAGTTTTATAGATGAAAAGTGCAGGTGATAAGACTAAAAACAAGACTTCTAAAATTAGATCTTATTGTTAGTATATGTGATAGCAATTTTAGCAGTCGAAAATCAATTAACTACTTGGGATTCATTCTTTTCATGCGATGGAACTAGATACTCTACTCCTTCTAGCCTTCCATAAGCTTTCCTATAGTTTATGGTAACAGAAAAAGCAAATATGTTGGAACTGAAGAAAATTCTGAATTTCGCAAATAGCTGAAGAAATTTATGAAGAGACAATTTTGGGTGTACGACATATTTTAACCTGATACATAGTACCTTGTCTATGGTTGGCCAATAACAAAATTCTTTGGCTATTCTATAAGCCCACGATATCTATTTTCTTCTTGGTTTATGTAGAATTATTTTAGATGTACATGAGACCATATCACATGAGCTCTTATCAAATATAAAACCGGAGAATATCAAAGCTAATTTGCGCAAATTCACTAAAGAGCCTCATTTGGCTGGGACTGACGCCAACAAGCGAGTCGCTCATGATATAGCTCAACTATGGAGCGATTTTGGGCTGGATGGTAAGCGATTAGTTGAGAAAGTACGAATTTATTAACCATATAGTCTCTTAGATGTCCATACCGTTCCGTACGAGGTTCTGCTCTCTTATCCTGACTTTAATACTCCAAATCGTATAACTATCATGGACGCTGAAGGTAGAGAGGTGTTCAGAAGTTCAGGTGTTAGCCCAGTCATAATTCCGGATGAACAAGGAGGAAAACGTGAGTAAAATCAGTTACTGAAGAACTGATTTTCCAAAAGATTTCAAATTCAGACGCCGGTCATCAATGGTTAGCCTATTCGGCCCCTGGAAGGGTCACTGCTGAAGTAGTATACTGTAATCGAGGACTCAAACAGGATTTTGACAATTTGAAAAAGATGGGAATAGATATAAAGGTTAGTAGCCACTACATTTGCGTCCGTTCGTTTTTTTTTTGCTCATTTTTCTCATCTTTCTTAAACGATCGTTTCATGCCACCCCTCACCGGTTTTTTTTCTTTCCTCATATTCGGTCTATATTATCCCCTATTTCTTAAAGGCATATATGCCAAATAAAAGTCTTGCTAGCTTTTCCAGCTTCGTAAGATTTGCGAACCTTTTCCATCCTTTCCTCGGGAAGATTGGTGTTTATGGCATTCGCTGTTCCCATAAAATTGACAACAAGCAACAGGTGTCGAAGCGAAGACAAGGCTGTTGTTCGGCTAACAAACATCTTTCATTAAGTTATGCAAGGATTGAAAAGGATGAGCATAAGTTCACGGGTAGAATAATAAATCACGGAAGAGAATCTGTTCATGCGGGTTTTTTGTGGTACATTAATCAAGAGGAACAGACACTGCAGGACCGCATCTATCAGCAGTGATAAAAGAGCAGAGAAGAGTTGTGTGCAAAATTAATCTGATTCTTCATACAGTTTTTCAAAACTCGGCAAGCTTCCAAGGCACGTAGATACAAAAGACAGTCTCAGCAGTGGCCGACCGAGGGGGAGGGAGGGCACCTCCCCCCAGAACTAGCGAAATTTTTATTTTTGTATGGGTTATGAAAACGTGCAAAAGATAAAATAACTTTCAAATTTATAAAGATTCATAATAGTCTTGTAAGAAAATTTCTTCGGGGGCGTGGCTGCCGCCGGCCTTTCAGGGTCATGGGACAGCGATAGTTTTGGGAATCATCCCAAGGAATTTTTCAAAGTGCATGGCTAACGCCACGTACACTTATACGAAATTTAAAAAAAATCTTATTAGAAATAATATTAAATTCATATTATCGTCCTCCCCTCCTCCCCCCCCCCTTCCAACGGAAATTCTGGAACCGCCACTGGTGCTGAGCAATCCAAAAAAATCATTTGAGAAATCAATTCTCCAAGTTTAAAAAGATGAATCGTTTTCTGGAACTCATTTTTCTTTTGGAGCACTCCTTGAAATTAGATCATGCAGTGGAATTCTTGTATACAATCAATCTGTAATTTATCCATAAAGAAATAGTTGGCTTTCCTCCAATGTATAAAGCTGAAGTAAACAAAGGAACAAAGGCGCACCCAAAGGCACCGTTCGGGTCAATCTGGGTATGATAGGTTTCCTATACGGAAACAAATAAGGATTCTCTCAATTGAGCTATTCTCAAGTGACATATCATACTCTAACTAAATGAGAAAATTCATCTCTAAACTCCACAGACCGTAATTTGTACCGTACACCGGGACGCTCATTGGTTGAGTATATTCAGCTGGAAATTAGGCCCTGGGCAAACCTTACGCGATTTCAGTCGCGACGCGATTTGGCAACGCTCCAGTTGTTCATAATTTATCCTAAGGGGTTTTCTGAATGCACAGAAGATCGGGTACTTTATTAATCTATGAAAGTTGTATATGCTGTGCATTTCGGCTCTGCCAATATTGAACTTAAATTCGCGGCGACAAAAAGTCTTACGGGGCTGAGGAATGTTGTATCATAAAGACATGTTTGTTACTTTGATGCAAGCCATTTCTATGTGTTCTAGGGAAAAATTGCACTTATGCGATTCGGAGAAGGGTTCCGAGGAGATAAAGTACACAAAGCGCAGAAAAATGGTGCTGCTGGTGCAATAATATTCTCTGATCCGGACGACATCGCAAGAGATGGCACAGATCAATGTGAGGGGATTTCAAAAAAAAAAATTACTGAGAGATATAGTAGATATTTAGCCCATGTATATCCAAACACGATATGGATGCCAAACGAAGGAGTTCAGCGTGGCTCAATTATGCATGGTGATGGTGATCCGCTAACCCCTCTGTATCCGTCAAAAAAGGAACTTTTCAAAAGCCGCACTATTGAGCAGGTTTGGTAAGAATTTTCCACCTTCAGGCAAATATTTCTATGCTAAGAAATTTCAGGCAAAAGAAGATGGAACACTCCCAAGTATTCCCGTGCTACCAATTTCATACAGCACAGCTTTCCAGATCCTTTCGCGGATGAAAGGTCGAGCAGCTCCACAACCATGGCAAGGTAGCTTAAACAAAAAATATAATTTTTTCACAGATAAAGCAATTTACAGGAGCCATCAATGTGACATATAAGATAGGACCGGGGTTCCGCTTTGAAGAGACATTAACTATGGAAGTTCACAGCGATCTCAAAGTAAAGTAAGTTTGCTTTCGGCTCCGTTTCGGAAACGCTGGATGTAAAGAAATCTACGTATGTAAGTGCAGGAAAAATTGAAAACATGTTAGCGAATTGAAGAAACAGTAGACAAAAATAGGTGTGCTAGCGTCGAAATGCGTACCCACGTAACTCTCGTCGTCTGCGTCTCCAATCAAATTGCATTCCTTACTCTCACCGTCTGCGTCTCCAACAATATTGCACCCTCTACTCTCATCGCCTGCGTCTGTAATCAAATTGCTCTCATAATGCGGATGAAAATCCGCGCGTCAAACGCCAATGTATTTTTTACAGTTGCTTCATTTCATATGATCATGTGTGCCGTTGCACACACTGTCCACTTTGACGTCCTCATCCTGGATTTGTAATCGCAAAAACGCAAGAGACTTACCGATTGTTATCGATTACATCAATTTGAGGTGACTAGTAAGTAAAAAGGAAAGAAAATGCTAAGAACACCTTGGAACACTTACCTGAAGGCCTGTTTTTCCCACGAATCCAGGATGGGGACGCCAAAGGTGAACTGTGTGTGCAATGGCACACATGATCATATGAAATGAAGCGACTGTACATTATAAAGCAAAGAGCATTTTTCAGCTGATTATTTATGGAAAACTTCATGAAAATAGTGAGAATAATAATGGTTAAGGAAGATCAGAAACGTCATCGGATACATTCGCGGAAAAGACGAACCTGATCGCTATGTCATTCTGGGTAACCATTTCGATGCTTGGGTTTACGGATCTATGGATCCTAACAGTGGTTCCGCTATACTAGCCGAGGTAGCTAGAGCCATGATGCAGACTGTGAACGAAACTGGGTGGAGGCCAGGTAAATATAGTAATATAGATATTAGAACGAAATTATAAGGACTCTTTCAGCTCGTACAATAATGTTTGCAAATTGGGACGCAGAAGAGCATGGAATCATTGGTTCAACAGAATTTGTCGAGGAGTTCACGGACATATTGCGTCAACGAGCTGTTGTGTACTTGAATATGGACACAATACATGGAAATATGACTTTGTCTGTTCTGCTCCAACATCCAAATCTACCATGAATTAGCAAGTTTTAGACATGTTGGAACAATCCCATCCCTTTATCGAGTGATTGTTGAAGCAGCCAAAAGAGTAGAGAACCCATCAAAGGCAGAGAAGGCTAAAGGAAGGACTACGGTCTACGACACCTGGCTAAAGCTACGTCCTTCTCATACTCCTGGTTTGCCTCAGATACCAGTGCCAGGAGGCGGTTCCGACCATGTGGCTTTCCTCACTTATGCAGGTAGTAAGGGTCCTTTTGTACATAAATTCTGCATGCTACTATCCCAGATGATTTACCAGGAGTTCCGCTGAACAATTCTGCTGAAACAAAACCATGTAGCTCTTTGTGTAGTGTTAGATGTTTGATAAGTGTGTCATCAAACTCCTGGAGAAGTTCCTACTTTTGACGCTTGAACTTTTGTGATAATAAACAAAATACTGTGAAACACCTGCAAGTACTTTTTGTCCGGCGGAAGTTCCTGTGGGTTGTCTGAGGTCGTGGTGACCTTTAGTAAGTAAGAATGACATATTCAGACAATCGCAAATGACTTCCGAGGAAAACTGAACTTCTAAACCTTCCGGGGGGACACTCCTATTGGAGCTGCTGGTAGGGCGAACCAGGTAGGGCGGAACCCACCTACACGGCCCAACAGGAGCGTCCCTCCGGAAGTTTGAAGTTCAGTCTTCCCCGGAAGTCATTGGAGACAGGGCCCGGCACGAGGTGGGCAAACGGGGTTTTCCAAAACGAATTCTCCTTTGGTCCCAATAGTCTTCACGAATACCTCCTTAAGCCCAAAAATGACGCTTTGTGCTTGTGCAACGAGAGCCCGGCCACACTTCGCCTAAGAGCGAAAAGCGCCCAAAATGCTCAAATTCCTCTAATTACTCCTCACCTGTATCAAGATAGAAAACAAGAAGAAGAATAAGCAAGAAAATGATGAAGGAATGAAAAAATATCAAAGTATCGCAGTCATAGGACTCAGAGACACCGTTCCCGCGCGTATCGATTGACTGGGGCGCTCTTTCCATCTTAGAAAGCTAGGCTGCTGATGCGATTTTGGTCTCTAACAAAGACAAGAGGAGCAGTTTCAGAACCAAAATCTCACCATGTAGTAAACTTTAGGTGCACAACAGATTTATGTAAAAATTTTGAGAAAATTATGTGAATTGAAAGTCTTGCCCACCTCAGGTGGGCATTAGGTGGGCAATTGCCCAACGAATTTGGAAAAAAAGTTGGGCACGCTCTTCATTCACATAAGTTTTTCATGATTTTATATACTTTGTTCCCTAGTCCTACTGCGCGTATACACAGCGGATGTCGCGCGATTTCGTCATCTCTGCGTTGCAAACGAGCCATTTTTCCATTTTCTTGATACTGGGAAATTTTCAGAAAAACGCTTGCCACAACCATCAGTCACATAAATTTTCAATGAAACTTCTAAGTTAAGCCCTGCAGGCCGTGTTCGTGTACCTACCAAGTTTCATACCGTATGGTCATCTGTGCGCTGCAAACGAGCCATTTGAATTCACATCTTCATTTACCAGTTTTGCAAATTTTTTGGAAAAATGCTTATAACTCCTCCCATTCACCTAAGTTTTTCATAATATTTTATACTTTGTTTCTACTAGCCTCTCTTCGTTCGCTTACGTAATTTGGTGCTATATCGTTACGCCTGCACTGAGAACTGATCAAGCTGTTCAACGGCATTGCTCATGCGATGTCGCGCACGCGGGAATTAGCGGCAACGCGGCGTAGCGCGAGCGAACTCTGCTGTGCGTTGAGATTTATGAAAACTATTTCCCAATGAGTTAGATGTATAAAGTAAGCATGATTCGACCTTCTTTTGCTTGCACTTGGATTCTTCTTCCGGGGCTCCGCCCCGGATCCCGCAAAAACGATATTCCTTTTGCTTTTTGGCCCCAAAACGATTTCCAGCTTGTCATTTGCCCACCTCGTGCCGGGCCCTGATTGGAGATTGTTTGAGTACAAAGCCAGTCTCTTTGAAATGTTGCAGCGCTGACCACGTTGACTTCTATAAAACATATGTGGTGTCATACTGTAGCGGTGCAAAAATGTCATTTCAGGTGTACCCGTGGTTGACTTCTCGTACAAAAATGAAACAATTCACGATACTTACCCACTATATCACACCATGTATGAGACGCCATTTGTAAACGAGCATCTTCTGGATACCGATAATTTTGCGGTAGGAGCAACGAACATAATTATTTAAATTCTCAAAATTGTCCGCATACTGCTTTTAGGTCCACCGCGCTATAGGACAGTTCTGGGCAGAATTAGCTCGATTTTTCACTGATGAAGCTGTGCTGCCATTCAACACTACCGAACTTGCCGTAGCTATCGTAAAGGTCAGGTTCAATCAAGATTTTTAGTTATTTCCTGCCGTATTATAGATAAATCTAGGACTACATTCCAGCGCTAGGTAAAGCGCTAACTCCATTGAAATATTACCAAAAGGCTATACAACCTGCTATTCAGCAATTATCTCACTTTACGAAAGCGGCGCAGGTTCGTTGCTTGGTCATACAGTTTACAAAAATAGAAATGGAACATTTTTAGGATTTTCTGAGCATGTGTCGAAAGTTTGAGAAAACTATGTTCTTCACGAGAGTTGCCTTCTCTCAGAATCCGTTCGACGCTCGCCATATCGCAGCAGTCAACGAGAGATTGATGAAGTAAGCGTTATCCTGACCTATGTACTCTTTGATTCAACTGGCTTGGCGGCTGGAAGGCGGGGCTTCGTGACATATTTGAGGCTAGGTAATGACCAGAGCATGCGCGCGGGAGAGACGCAGACGGTGTCGCGGTCGCGAGTGGCTTCGATTAGCTCACAAAGCCCCGCCTTCCAGCCGCTAAGCCATTTGAATCAAAGGTTACATACGCGCTTCACGTTGTACACGACGCAACGTTGCGCTAGCATATTGTAGGTGCCAAAAGGGCCTTCTGTTGCGCTACAGTATTTTCGGCCTTTTTTTGATCTGTTTTTTTTCAGTGCACAACGTTGCTTCATCAATCCACGAGGTTCACCTACAGCACCACAATCCAGACATGTTCTCTATTCAATTAGTGAGCACGACAGCTATGCAAGTAGGCAAATGGCCGCTGTCTATGACGCTGTAAGTCAAATTATCTACAGTAATTTTCTTCTATGCAATGACAATATCCTTACAGATAGATGATTTCACAAATGCGGAGTCCGATAAACAACGGGTGATTATTGGAAAGGAAATTGCAAATCAAATGTCCATTGTACAGCATTCCGTCCATTGCGCAACCAATACGCTCAAGGATGTAATATAATCGTTATTTATACAGCTATGCTTAACTGGTAAATGTTGTTTACTTGATAAAATTATGTGTTATGCGGTGTGTTAGTAGCCGTGGTACTTAAGAATTCACGCCGGTTACCCAAAGGAAAGGGGAGCGGGACGGGGGCTCAATATCTGATGATTTTTGACCCAATGCGATGTTAATTTTAAGAGATATCACAATTGGTTTAGGCTATACTATATACGCTAAAAAATACTATATGAGGTCGTAGAAGGCACTACAGAATTATAAACAACAAACGAACGAATAAGAAAATGATTTTGGGTGAAGAACTGAATAGCGCCGGGTTGCGCCTCTTCGGACAACTGGTCCCAGCACAACATACATAGATTATGAAACAACAAGTAGACCAAATTTACTCCCGTTTCCTCTGATGATGTCAACCTGCTTCCCTGATTGCTGCGCTTAACTAGTTTTAGAGCTACAAAACAGTTGCCTGACAAACAAAATGCATGTTATGTCACCAACTATCAATAGATTTTGAATTAGCGAAAGTAAATAGTGTGGCGAATATAGAAAAAGGTGAATTCCTATGTACGTGGAAATGTGGAAAATCCCAGAAATTTTTTCTGGGAAAACGGTTTTCCATTGGGACGTTAATGACTTTGGTACCTGTGTGAAAAAATTCTGAGGCTCAATATTGAAAATGTTGAAGTCATGAAACATGTGGCTCTTTGGTGAACAGTTACGCTTCTTCAGTGACAAATTGAATAGACGATTCATATGGTTACATATCGGGACCTAGAAAATCAGCTTTTTTTGTAAGGTTCGTCTACCGGCGGAACACATCGGTTGTATTGATACGAAATGTCATAACCGGGGCAGTCACATTGGTAGACTGGAAGGCCGTTGGAGTAGTAAGAGAACGTCGCAACTGTAAAATCAGCAGTTAAATAGAATCCATTCGATTCAAAGTAAATTCTATCTTACTGCAAGGCTCTGCATACTGTGTCGCCACTGGCACTGGATATGGCTGCGGCTGGACTACGACTGTTTGGTATGGTTCATATGGTGGATAGTAGGGACCACCATTTCCTGCCAATCCTGCCAAACCTGCCAATCCTGCCAAGCCTGAAGCCACAAGTGCTTGAGACCATTTTCGAATGAGTTTGAGAAATGTGGAGGTGAGTATAGTAGAAGGACGAACCTGTTAAACCAACCAAACCAAGATTACCGGCACCGCCACCACCACGTCCGCCTCCTGGACGGCCACCTAAAATATATGTTCAAAACAAATTCAACGTCTTCTGCTTAGAAAAAGTCTCACCTCTCCAACCATAGCCACCACCTCCTCTTCCGCCCCATCCTCTTCCTCGTCCTCCTCCTCCTCTTCCTCCTCCAAAGCGCGAACGGCCGGCAGAGCCACGATTACGTCTAAATTAGGGATGAGCCTACTTGTAACCATTTTCAATTTTTTGGAATTTTTCTGAACGAAAAATGATTTGCAGAAGGAAATAGCGCGCAAGTTTCATCTATAGAAATCAAGCTCTATTGCTGTCGTTAATGCGATTGTTTGAACATCTGGTTTACTATTATTATACATAGCGATGTAATCGATTTGTACAGAGTCTAGCTGTGATTTGCAAAAGATCGGGTTTTGTAATCTTCAGCAAATTGATGTCTTTACGTATCAGGAGAAAACAGTGCAATTATACCAATACAAAACAATTACAGGTCCTGTGCGCGACTGAACTCGTGTCAGATTCGTTCCTCGTTTCTCAAAACAAATCTGAATAAGAAGTGCGCAGTTAGCTCTTCTCAACTATTGAATTTAGTAGTCTTGAAGAGGCTAGGCTAAGGTATTTAATGGTTCTAAGAGTAGACCAAAACATTTCGAGTACAAAAGACAAAGTAAAAGCTTCATACTTACCCCCTTCCGCCTTGACCGCGACCAGCCCAACGTCCGGCACCTCCTCTCCGATCTCCTCCGCCACTTCTCCCGCCACCTCTACCTCCACCTCCACGACCTCGCCAGCCTCCTGGACGTCCAGCTCCAGGTCCTCTCCGTCCTCCTCCTCCTCCACGTCCACCACCTCCCCATCCGGCAGGGCGTGCAGCTGCGGGACCTCTCCAGCCTCCTCCACGTCCAGCGCCAAGTCCTCTTCCACCTCCTGGGCGTCCAGCTCCTGGTCCTCTCCAACCTCCTCCACCTCCACGTCCACGACCTCCCCATCCTACAGGGCGTGCAGCTGCGGGAGCTCTCCAGCCTCCTCCACGTCCACCTCCAGGTCTTCTCCATCCTCCTCCACCTCCTCCGCGACCTCTCCAGCCTCCTCCACGTCCAAATCCACCTCCGCCGCCACGGCCTCTAAAGCCTCCGCCACCTCCTCTGCGAACACCACCTCCGCCTCCTCGGCGTCTTCCTCCACCACCACGTCTTGCTTCAGCCTCATATAAGAGCAGCGCCTCTGAAAATGAACTACTCTAACTTACCGTTTTGTGAATTTTGTGAAGTTTATCTTTGTGAAAATACGGCAGTGGAACTTACGTAGCGTGAAACAAAAAAGGAGTGTAACAGATAAGGATAGCCTCATCGCAAGCCAAAGATGTGATGTGTTTACAAAAATTTCTTAGTGGGTCATGTGCTTTAGTGTAAAGTGTTGTCAAATACTAAAATAGTCATTTGTACTTGCTTGTCTCCCGACTTCGGCCAATAAATCGAATCAACCACCTAGAAGCATTAAATTGCTTCTGGTAAGTATCAGTGAGTTGTAGGAGAAATCATTTTGTCTTATTTCATTGCGATAAGTTCCCTCACATTACTGATAACTAAACTGTGAATATGTTGGTGTATATAACGTAGTTTTTGTTCTGTTAATACAAATGAGCATTGATAAATAATTTTGCGATAGTATCTGGGAAAGGTGTGAAAGCATACTTGTTCTGTTCTCTAAACTGTATGGCTAATTATTTGGTACAATAATTATCGTAAGACTATGATAAGTAAGTCCTATCATCGTGTATAAAGAGCTTTTTGGTTATCGCAACTCTGGTAGCATGTTCATTTAAGGCCAAAGAAAACGCGAGAAAACTTGAAAATGAAAACTTGTAGCGTAGTAAACCTCGACTGACATCAAGCTTAGCATCTCAAAAAAACTGAAGGAACATAAGAAGAAAACTATAATTTCAAAGGGGGAATTTGAGCGACAGACTCATGTAACAAATTTCTTGAAAAGAAAATCTAAGAAAATCTTATAAGCGAGAGAATGTAGAATTGCAGCTAAAGCATCATCTACGATTGAAAGCGATGCATGTCTTTACCTCAAAAGAAGCTGGACGTTCGACGTGATGTAGTGGGACCTTTCTTTGATAGTTCCACCATATCAAAGGGACCAAAAAACGAAATAGTTGCCTGAGACCTGGATCTGCCATCGGAAAGATCGCTTACAGAGGAGCTCAAGCTGAAACTTCAGCACATCAACAAAACCAACCATTTGAAGAGCATGATGGCAGAAGAAGCAAATTAAGACATGAAAAATAACGTGAGGAAAACTCGAAATTTTGCGATTAATAATCAGAAACAAAACGAGAACAAAAGTACGCAGGGATGAATAGACAACTGAGTGAGATTTTGCAATTTTGGAAGTAGACAAGAGATCATAGATAATCGGACACGAAAGATGGGACGTTTTCGCGTGAAGGATCATATAAAAGAAGAATGCATCCATGTGAATTTTTTTTTTTGCAATCAACGAATAGAAATCATCTTCAAAGATACCCTTCCTCGCAAAGTCGGTCATCATTTTCATTGGAAAGCTTTTGATATGAGATCATAGCGAAGCAAGGGGCAATTGACGTCGAGCAAAGAGAAGGTCATCCAACACAACAATGGTGCAATTAACCGCCTATGACGACAAAATGGTATTTTTGATTTGTATGTAATTTGCTCACTTATTTTGTTCCAAGGAACGTTTAAAATTCACCTATTGTCTTGCAAACCTTGCACTTTTGACTCCTTTTTGAGCCATTTGTTCTTTGACTTAAAAACCGTAACTTTCATGTTATAAATTACTATTTTTCCTATGAGCATGTTTTAAGCCGAATATTATTACATGTCATCTGCAAATGATCGTGGTCTTGCATTCTTCGCTTTTGCTCCCTGCTTCCTCCCACAGAATGCATGAATTTGCTTTGCGTGAGTTGCTGATGTATAAGGTGTGGGATCATTTAAGGTTGTGCGTACCCATAATCGAGAATTGTATAATTTTGTCATGGAAGCGGCGCAACAGGTGGTTGCGATAAAGCTCAAAATGGAAGGGATGCTTACATTGCGCGTGCACTTAAATGCCACGAAAATTAGGCGACTTTTTGATCATATATTAATACTAATCTTGCGGGTCGCTAGTAACAAGTGGGTGGGGAGATCGTTTAGATGCAGTTTTGAGGCAGAAGGACCCGAGTCGGGTCAGACTTGCGTAGGAGGTTTTTTTGAGGAAATTTCTACCAGAATATGCAAAACTCACACTGTTTCAATTTTGGTGAGGCACTGAATCCAAGAAATTGAATTTGGAAGTATCAATTCAGGCCCCTACTAATAAATTCACTGAAATTTCTTTCACATACCTTTACCTGTATTCGAAACCTTAACAAATAAGAATCTCGTAAGCATAAAAGAACACTTTATTATGTTGCACACAAGTTCTTTAATAAGATCTGTCCATTTGATCTAAGATTCAGCAGTATGATTGATTCATGCGTGGATGGTCTCTTTATAGCGAATCATTGTAGTAGAAACGTTGTTTCCAAGAAATAATTAATCATGAGTAGTAGAAGACAAGTATATAGGCGAAACGGGGAGAACGCTATGCCTAAGGATAAAGGGAATACGTGGATGGGCTGCAAACTGTCTACTCCTCTATGCACGCACTGAAAACTGCGCCATCAGAATGCAGAATTAGCTGATGGACCCCTACCAGTGCATCCGCTTGGGTATGCCGGCGGGGGCTGCTGGTATATACGTTTGCCTGGCCTCCGCCCTGTCCGTGCTGCCTGTACACTACACGTCTGGCGACAGGCTAGGGTAGGTCGTGCCATGATCATTACCTATGAAATTTTTACTTGTGGATGTGTCAGTTTGGCTTATCACTAGTGCGATTTACTTGTTTATTTACCATTTGGCAACCTGCCAAAAATTGCTTTGTTTGTTTTTTTATTTACTTTGTTTCTAATTTTCTATCTTTATGTTTCTACTTCTATCTCGTATCATGCGGTTTGTTGTATTTTTAAAAGCACGCCTATGTATGCAGCAAATAAATAAGTAAATAAATTTGACACCAGTGTTTTTACTTAGTCACGAGTAACTGAATTGGATAATCCTTGGAAGCGTGCTGAATTGCGACTGAATTTCGAGGACGTACAGAAAAAAGGAACATAGCCATAACGAATGAACTCGCACCATTTCTGGAGCGATGCCGGTTTTGACCTGGATCTCAGATAACCCCGAGCTCCCTATTACATCCCATCCTCAGAGCCCAGCAGTGATGTTCTCTATTCAATAAAAAGGTGAGTCGTTTCGTTTCGGCATGTTAATCTGTTCAACTTATTGTTGTTCAACCTGCTAAAATAAGGCGTTTGGAGAGACAAGATCTCTGTTTCTTACTTCCAGACTCTGACAAAGGCGAATAAGCCGGAACGTTAGCCGAATTAAACATCGTAACAATATTGGTATGGCTATAGCAGGTCAAAAGGGATATCCTTCTTATATATAAACTGGAAACATCCGGCGAGACGACGAAAACTACACATGGATCATCTACCCCGGCCACCCCCCTTCAGCGTTGTGGAGGGCGAGTTGTTGACAGTGTGAGCGCGCGAGACATCACACCCTCTCGCAGAGGTTACAGACAATGAGATTTTTAGAGGCGCGGTGTACTCCGAACCGCAGACAAGCTAGAGAAGAGAGGGTTGTCTCGACATGTGACTATTGATCGCACCCTACACTGCATGGGATGACGGCGCTTGTTTTGACTTTGCATGCGATGACGAATCGTGATGAAATACCGTATGCTCGGTTTGATCACAGCTTCCACAGCTGTAGCAATCTCTACTGTTCACATGCATGTTTCCTCTTCTTTTCTTGTCCTTACCTACGATCCATGTTCATTCTAAAGATTCCCTTGCTACTCCCCCCCCCCCCTTGCCATTTTGCATAATAGTTTGATATGAAATCTGAGAATTGCAACTCTTCTTAGAATAGTCGTCAGAACTCAACATTTTGTGAAATGTTGACGAAACTCACAATCCGAAGAGCAATTGAACAGCAAAAAATTGCATTGTTCGCAGGCTTTCTTTGTGGCTGAGCAATTTTTGGATTGAAAAATATTGTTTTCCCCCACAAATTTCCATGAACTGTATCTACGAAATGGTCCTTGAGCTAAGCAACGGGCTTGTACAAGAAATTGACGAGTAGGTAGAATTAGATTGAGTTCAATATGTGGAATGGCATGACCGACCGCGGTCCATTCGTTGCTTGCAGAAGAGACGGTGCATGATGAGTGTTGGCGACGATGCAGGTATACGAGATGGACAATTAGTAATCGAGCAACTGTCTATAAACAAAAAGAGCACGTTCTTTGTGTATATGAAGGCTAGTTGCGGCAAAACATTCATAACGCTTTGATTCAAAGACTTTAAAATGCAGGCTTGTTACTTTTTGCTGTCGCTACCGGAATAGCTGCCACTCTTCCGAAAGGAGGCTGTATCGCACAAATATTTCTTCCTTATTGCTTGGCCAGCACAGCTACGAGTGAGCAATGGACGCATCTTCTGAGAAAGCGAAGATGTTGCCCATTCTTAACATTCTCATTTGGAATGAAATTTCCATGCAAACTCGATATGCTATCAAATATCTATATATCAAATATTGGTTTTCGGAAGAGATTGGTGTCAATTTCTACGTGTAACCGGAGGTCCAAAGATAAATACCATGAACTCTACATTGGAATTTAGCCCTCTGTGAGATTTGATGGAAGCACATATTCTGCACGAAAATATGCGACTTCAACCAGGTGAAGATGAGCATGCTGCACGGCTGCGCCCCCTAGGGAAGGAATAACTTCCATAGCTGAAGAAAGTGTAAACATACCTTCCGACATTTGTATGGAAAGCGAAGAGTACGTGATCAAATGGATGTACACAAGGGAGGTTCTAGAATGCCCCCAAACTTATAGGTATGGCTTGTTGAGCCATACCTATAAGTTCGGGGTAACTGCGATTTCGAAATGAGAAGCTGGTTTTGCTGAAGTCTTCTGAAGACCTTGTGGAGCTTTACCATAAACACATCATTAAACGAAGAGGAAGGAGCCGTTGGACGGCCATGCGATGATGAAGAATATCTTTACAATTTTACACCTGGAATGCCGCAATATAGACTACAATTAATACGCAATGCTCTATATCTCTGAAATAGAGATTAACGAAAAATTGGTGAATTGCATGAGACTCGTAGTGTTAGATATCGTCTGTGATAAGCATATATTTTTAGCAGTTTCGAAGCTTGCTTACTAATAAGTACTCTTATATCATACGTATGCCTCTCGACTATGCAGATGTCAAAACGGGATTTAGAAGATTTTGATTCCCTATGACGCTATCTTATTTTATGACTATCAACAAAAGCCAAGGACAGTACTTCTACAAATTTCTTATCTTATGCGCACTTCTTCCTTCACTAGGGGAACGCTTAATTTGTCTCAGCGCGTGCAGGTTCGGAAACATGAATGAGAGTTACCATCAGCAGCCGTCACCTACCTTCAAGAATCATTTTCAATCAGAAGCGTTGTTTACTCTAAGATTACTGTTTGAATAACACTGACATTTTGGAGACACTTATCTATAAGGCTTGCGGCAATGTGAAGTTGAATAACACAGTTGCACATTATTATGCAGCTGCAATTACAGCTCATGACACTCGCAAGAGTATAACCCTGCTATTCTCTCATCTATATTGAGAGTGGTGAATGTTGGAAGCCGGAAAGAACTTTTCTTCTGTTGTTACAAACGTTGTTGACGCTCGCCCATGATTCAGTTTTTTAGAATGGACAGTGAACATGAGTAATGTTTTTGTTCACTTACAAGCATACTGACCGACACTGACTCGTCACTTAGATTTCTGTATCGACGAGCCTCATTACCTAAGCTTTTCTTGAGAAACCCCACTAAAAAAAACTCGGCTCAAAGTAAAAGTCAACACTGAACACAAATGAGCTCAATTTCCGAAGTTGTCGGCAGCATGCGTTAACGAGTACTACCTCATCATTACGTCTGCGGTATTGAGTGCAGATTTTGTATAACATGATATTGTGGCAGCATAACCTCTCAAACAGCATACAACAATTCCAACGTTCAACACGATTAATGGTTCATAGCATGGTGCGTGATAGGCTGCTGTCGGTACATTTCAACCATTGATCTGATCATCGCGCCTTACTCCGGGTTACACTGGATATGCGGTTCAAGGTCAGAATCTCAAGTTTGACTGAAATCATGTGAGAAAGTTATCTGACATTCTGACTATAAATGACTTGACCGTTGATGAGAGTGATGTCTAAGGAAAAGCGCTGTGCTGCAATTGGAGAAGACCTTTCTGGAGGCTAAGAGACGAAAATTTTTCCACCTGAAAAAGCCACTAGGCCGATCGTCATCTTCGAAGATGCCGTGTCTCGAGGCGGCGGTCATATCCTCTTTTGCGAGGTTTTTGACATAAGATCATAGCGAAGCAAGAGACAATCGATGTCGAGCAGAGAGAAGGTTATGCAATAAATCAATGCTGCCCGAAAAGGACTATAATGGTACATTGACATTAACCAAAAATAGGTAATTTGTTCACTTACTTCCTCCAAGAAAAGTTTCCTATCCATCTTACTCTCATGCTAATCTTGAATAGCTCCTATTAAGCCAATTGTTGTCTTCGGCTTGGAAATCGTACTTTCATTCCAGAACTATTTTTTCTTCCTATGGGCATGTTTTAGAGCAAATTTTATTACTCAGTCTATCCGCAAATGTTCATGATCTTGCATTTTTATTTTTTCGTGGTATCCACAAAACTGATTAAGACAAAGAGAAAAAAGAGGCAAAAATATTCGCACTTCTTTGAACTATGGAAACGTTGATCTAATGCGCCACATACAATACCAACACTGCCGCCTTGAAATGCTACGATTTAATCGCGCTGTCGCGCCGGAAGTGCCGCATCGCGATAGTTCGTCTGTACTCCAGCCAATCGGATTCTAGTTTAAATATTTGGAATCAGTTCTGATCTATCTAAAATTGCTTTTAAAAATTTCAAAATCCCGTGTGTAAAGATTTTTTTCGGGGCATTCGGCGATGTAAGCGCATCACCGCGTTGGTATCGTCGCACCGGCATAACTTTTTTTCAACTTATATCTATTGAATTTTAGTTTGAATATTTGGAATCAGTGCCTTCTGCTCTATTTAAAAGTACTTTTAGAAATTTCAAAATCCTATGTGTAAAGATTTCCGGGCCTTCGGCGATATAAGCGCATCGCCGCGTTGGTATCGCCGCACCGGCATAACTTTTTTCAACTTGAATCTATTGAATTTTACTTTGAATATTTGGAAAATCGGCGTTCTCTAAGCTACCTAAACAACTTTTAAAAATTTTGAATCACTGCTCACAAGCTTTTTTTCGTGCCCAGCGGCGGTCTAAACGGATGTCGCACTGAAAGTGCCGCATTAGTGTAACCCGGTTCAAAGTTCTTCAACTAGAATTTTGATTTGATATTTGAAACCGGCACCTTTTTGTCTACCCATGGTTTGATTTGAACTTTACAAATTCCTTTGTCTTGGTCCTTTTTCAAATTATCAACGGCGATGTAAACGCCAATTGGCGTTGGAAAAGCCGGAAGACGCTTTGCTGTACGATTTCGCCCCGCAGTCCTTTTTGGAGGGAGTACGTGAATTGCATGCAGGAAACATCAACAAGTTTGCACTAGACCTTGAGAAGAAAGTCTACGAGGACGACACGAACGAGTTAGCGCTGCCGGTTAAGAAGAGAGTGAAAAGCGCTAATAGGATCGAGTTCATCAAGGAGGTAAATTTTTGTTTGCAATCTCATTTTCTACTTTCAATTTTAACTTCTTTCAGTGCATCTATAAATATTACCTGGTTCCGGTGGAGGCCAGCAGAATGCCTGGAAAGCGGTCCGAGCAGCCCTGAATTCACGAGTGCGAAGGCTTGTTTAGTTACGGCGGCGTTGGAAACAACGCCGTCCAGAAGGCTGATGAATTTGTTCAAGGCAGATGCTCCAGCTGCCTCATCTAGTGCATCTGCCTCGACCTCTGCTTCGGTGTTTGATTTCGATGAGGAATAATTAAGTGAGTATGAAACATCGAAATCAAACACCGAAGCAGAACTACCATAGCCTACATATTGCAATTATCTAATTTTTCTGCTGTTATTGAATGAATTGTTTGTTAAACCATTGCTTTCTTTTTTAGACCTCTTTGTAAATGTTCAAAGACTCTTTGTAATTATTTTTGTAATTAGAATTTGCTGTTTTGTTGTTCGGATGTGTTTTGCCAATTCTCGTAATCATGTTGTCATATCTTTCAAAGTATCAGTTATAAAAGTTTGAAAGTTATAAAGTTTGTTATCATGGACGAGTTTCAAAGTATGGCAAATAATGTCTCAAACAGATGATTTTTTGAAATCGGATAAGTATTATAAAAACTTTAAAATTTTAAAGTTTTGAAGTTTCAAATTCCACAGTTCCTGATTCCTCCAATATCAGTGGCGTACCCAGGATTTCCGCTCGGGGGGGGGGGGGCGACAAAAAATTTTTTCAAATGAAGGTGCGTGGCGTCAGCCACGCACTCCGAAAAATTTTTAGGAGTGCTTCTCAGAATTTTTGCGGGTCGCTAACCCCAAAAATCCGGAAAAAGGGGGCGTGGCGTCAGCCACGCCCCCGAAAAAAATTTCTTTACAAGGCTAATTTGAATTTTTAAAAATTTTCAAAAATTATTTTAATTATTTACAAAAATAAACAAGTTACTTGCACATCTTTGTAACCCATATAAGTAACTTTCAAAAATTTCGCGACCCATTCTCGGGGGAGGGCGCGCGCCCCCCCCCCCCCCCCCGCCCCCCCCCCCCCACCTCGGTACGCCACTGTCCAATATGTATGGATAAAGATTACAATTCCACTTTCACATCCTACCAACAGATTGATGTGATTATGATAATAAATTGATACGCTGAGGTCACTGCAGCCAAGGCCTGAGCCAGCCTGGCTAATTATGGCGATGCGAGGGACCAACCAAAATCTAGAGCACAGAGCGAAAAATTTTTTGATTTTTTCAACTTTAGTTATATGATTGGATAGCTCAAACCTCGCTGATTCCGAATATCCGTATAGAAATTTGATATGCAAAAGGAAGAGAAAGCTACAGCGAACCGGCTTTTTCGACGCTTCATGGCTTTCATATCGCAGTTAAAAACATACCACAACAGAGGAAATTATCAAGTTTGAATTGACCTGTGAGTAGACAAAAAGATGCCGGTTTCAAATATTAAATCAAAATTCTAGTTGAAGAACTTTGAACCGAGTTACAGTAATGCGGCACATCCAGCGCGACGAAGACCGCTCCTGGCATGGAGCCAAAAAAATTTGAAATCAAGATTTCGAAATTTTTAGAAAATTATTTGGTAGCTTAGGAAACGCCGATTCCAAATATTCAATAAAATTCAATAGATATAAGATGAAAAAAGTTATGCCAGTGCGACGATACCAACGCGGTGATGCGCTTACATCGCCGAATGCCCCGAAAAAAATCTTTACACACAGGATTTTGAAATTTTTAAAAGCACTTTTAGATAGATCAGAAGGCGCTGATTCCAAATATTCAAACTGGAATTCAATAGATATAAGTTGAAAAAAAAGTTATGCCGGTGCGACGATACCAACGCGGTGATGCGCTTACATCGCCGAATGCCGCGAAAAAATTTTTACACACAGGATTTTAAAATTTTTAAAAGCACTTTTAGATAGATCAGAAGGCACTGATTCCAAATATTTAAACTATCCGATTGGTTGAAGTACAGGCGAACTATCGCGATGCGGCACTTCCGGCGCGACAACGCGATTAAATCGTAGGATTTCAGGGCGGCAGTGTTGGTACTGTATTTGGTTGTCCCATAAGTCTTTTCATATCTGAACTTTCACCGCTAAATGTCAGTTCTACTTGTATTTCCAGGAGGTTGCGGGGTACCACAGTCTACAGATCAAAGCAAGCTTTACAAGACGGTGTTCGATCTTTAGCACCAAGTTGATCCGCATTGAGTTTCAAACTAAGAAAAATCCGAATTCTTAAAAAAACGAAAGCATTCGTATCTCAGTTTGAAACAACTCTACGAATTCCTCACTCGCTCATGCATATTATGTACTCCCCGTCAGATATCTACGTATACACTTTTTGCATTTTTCTAATGGCTGGAAATCAAGAAAAAATAATGAACTGAATTTTCAAACTTGGCCTGCTGCGGTTCTGTGTTTCTCGCTAATTTACGACTATATATTTATTTTTTTTAGAATAGTTCTAGGTTTGAGAAATATTGGTCTGAAAGTACGAATATGAAAAGACTTATAGGAGAACCTAATACAGGGTGTCCCAAAAGTAAGTACACACTTTTCAATCGTTAATACCTCTCTTCTCACTGCGTCTTCTTCCACCATTCAAGTACCATTCTGTAGAGGAAGCCTCAACTTAGATTTACAGTGTCGAGTGAACTACCGATCGCTCTTCATTACTGTTGGATTACTGTAGGGACTTCGACAGGGATTTTAGGCCATTGGAAGCAATATTCTGCCTCGGAACAAAACCAAATAAGCCAAAAAATCTTATACTATGGTAATGGAAGCCGCTGATTTCGAATATGAAATTTCCACTTTGCTGTGATGCTTCTTTCCAAAGTTATTCCAGGTAAACCGTAATAACCGAAATCTCAGTATTTGTCAGAAATGTGATTACACCGTCAAAAAGCTGAAAACACTCGTAAAAAGTTGTCTAGTGGATTCAGCGTGCGCGAAAACTCTAGTACACGATATTTCAGATTTTTTGAAAAAGATTTTGTCAGATGGCATATTTCACAGTGGTTCCACATGCTAAAAGTTCATACCGTAATCCTACAGTGACGAAGAGCGATCGGTGATTCTTTCGATACCGTAAATCTAAGTTGGAGCTTCCTCTACAGAATGGTACTTGACTGGCAAAAAAAGACCTATTGGGAAGAGAGATATTGACGATTGAAAAGTGTGTACTTGCTTTTGGGACATCCTGTAGTACTTAGAAGGCATACGAGAACTCTCTTATTTTTTTATTTTGAGTCTGCAAAATTCTCAAATTTGTTTTGTGCATATTATTAACACATTCTTTAGACATGATTACGACTGCTCCTCAGAAATAAGTACACTTAGTAGGCTTTTAAGGAAGAAATAACGTCCACGTTCATTTTAATATGTGTCTATGTGTGTTCAATGTCAAGCTTTCAACCATAAACAATTAGTTGAAATGTTTATATTAGGTCGGCACGAAAGTTCTGTCGCAGCATTTTCAAAAATTTACAACTTCTGATTTTTCCAACCGATTTGACTGTTTTTATTTTGTATGAAAGGGTAAGTCGTGCCATTTATAATAACCTCTTAGCTGCTTGCCAATGATCATCTGTTGCATAGATAGGAGCGGTAGAAAAAAATTAGTCAAAATTCGAATTTTCTGTGTAGGGTCATAAAAAATCAGAAACTTGCAAAAAAAATCGGAGCAGTCGGTATTGTAGGTTATTTCATTAGCTCTTTCTAACAGTACAAAGTTTGCGTCGACTGAGCGTCTCTATGAAAAGTTAAGATTTTCAAGCAAGCAATACAATAGGGCGAATTTAATTTATTTTGGCATTTTTCAGGAAAATCATAACCTTTCATAGAGACGCTCAATCAGCGCAAACTTTGTACACTTAGAAAGAACTGGTGAAAGAACCTATAATACCGACCGCTTCGATTTTCGTTGCAAGTTCACGATTTTTTATGACTCTACACAGAAAATTCGAATTTTGACTAATTTTCTTCTATCGCTCCTATCTATGCAACAGATGATCATCAAGATGTCCTCCTAAAGAGCATGACTTACTCTTTCATACAAAAATAAAAACAGTCAAATAGGTTGGAAAAATCAGAAGTTACGAATTTTTGAGAATGGTGCGACAGAACTTTCGTGCCAACCTAATATTTCCTTTTAGGTTTCGTAACCAATCCAGGAATAAGCAATTTATTTTATACAGACAAAACACATTCTCGCGTTAATAGACCGCAAACGTCATACGTGACCATATAGAAGATTTGTACTGAGCATCGGTACCTGTCGGAGGTTGCATTGTGAATTGCTGGGTTGGTGCATAATTAAAGACCCATTTTCATCTCATCTTTCTTCTCCAAGGCAAGATATTTTTGTTTCATTTTTGACAGAAATCGTGTTCAACTCAATCAAAACATGACTAAAGTGTAAATTGAACTCGAGTCATCGCACGTTTTATACCACTAGTTAAGGCAAAGCAAATTCAGAGGATTCTGGAGAAATTGCTCGGCCGCACAAACCCTGAAAGGTGACGGCAATTAAATACCAAAGCAAAAAGTAGTGCTGAAACTGGAAAGGACATTTTTCACACCATGCCGGGCAAGTAGGCTTTTTTTTTTGTTCCCATACAATTTAAATCAACAATAGCGAGCGAATTTTCTCAATGTACGCAGTCGCGGCGCAGAGAAGACCTGACATGCTAAAAAATTGCATATAAATAAGGAAAATCGAACTGTTGGCCTTTGAAATCGTCCATTCACAACAAGAGGTTCAAAGATTGCAACTAATTATGCACCAACTTGTGGATCCACTTGTATGATTCTTCCTTTTCCATAAAACATGGAAAATATACAATCGCGTCGTAAACTTGGAGAGGAATAGAAACAAATCAAATATTACAGGAATCATCTGCTCTTAAAGGCAGTGCCGGGCATCGGTACGCATCTGTTGTACTGATACGAGATCCCATAACCAGGGCAATCGCATTGGTAAACCGGAATGCCGTTGGAAGCATAGTATGAAAACGTCGCAACTGCAAAATTGAATGAAGCAAAATATTGAGACGTTTGCTATTGGAATCTTACTGCAGGGCTCTGTATACTGGGAGTCTTGGAAATTTTGCTCTGTCTCATATGGATAATCCGCAAAGTTTGATGAAGCCATTCCTGCCATTCCGGTCAATCCTGAAAACCAAAAGATCTAGACATAGAACATTATGTCACTTATGGATGCATTGTAGATCCAAAAATATTAAGTTGCTCCATAAAGGCAGCGGCTCGGCAGAATGACAAATTTGGAATATTTTGTTCTTGGCTCCCCTGGATGAGCTAAGCCCGAGACTGTGCTTTGCAGCTTCAAAGACATCAATAACCAGCTTTTCCAGAGGTGTTATTTGGGCGGACGGCGTATGCCTTCTAGAGCGCGATTGGCTCTTGAGTGGAGACAGCGTGCCCATCTCGGCGTTAATTGGATTATTGGCTGCAGCAGCACTTTCGCGACCCGCCCAAACAGCACTTTTCACTTCTGGAAAAGCGGGTTACTGATATTTTATGAAGTTGCAAAGCACAGTCTTGGGTTAAGCTCATCCAGGGGACGATCAATAACCCAAAACTGTCATTCTGCCGAGTCGCTGCCTATAAGTCTGGCACCAAGTTTTCGAAAAGTCATGAGTATTTGTGGTTGCGGTGATTTGTTCAATTCGGTATAAAAGAGAGAAAATCATGCGCTTTCTGATAGTGCATGAACGAAAATTATGTTGGTATATGCTTATAAACATTGAAATTGTAAATTGCAAGTTTTGCTGTCTGAAATGCTAGAAGATCCGAGAAAATCTAAGCCCACTTTTACAGTTTTTTTTTCGAAAGCAATTTGTGATGACTGAATATTTTCGCTAATATTAGGTTGTCCGTTTTGTCCGTCTTTTCAACCTATCGTAAAAACGCGTGGAACGAAGATAGGGAAACGCTCTAAGCACCATCCGACGCATCTTTTCCTTCTCTTTACAACTGTCATGCTTCCATGCCGATTAATCTTTTGTTCACTGAGATAAATGCCGAATTTCGAACCCATGGTTTTTACTATGTCCAAGTTTGGCAATGTTTCGCAATCTTTATTTTTGACTTTCGGAAAAGCTTTGGCAACAGTTAGATAGAGCAAACAAAGGGCAATATAACGCAATTTTGCGGCATCTATAGCCAGCCTTGAAAATTTTTTAGAATTATTTTTCTGATGCTATCAAATTTCACTTTTGGTGATGCCAAAAGCCAGAGATCATGAAACGGCGCACAACTAAGGTTCGATGCAGCTTTTCCTCCTCTTTCCAGTGAGAGTATTTTCTCTCCAATTTGCGGGGTCTTTGGTGATGAAATTTTTATAATTCTTGAATCTGACCCCACCCCAGCGTGTACACGTAAAATGCATCTTATATTTCGAAGCAGTAAACGCTTATTTGCTCCGTAAAAATAGTGAATAATCGTAATCGATTTTTAAAAGCTTCAAAATCCAATGATTTGTTAGTGTTCGAGGCGTTTCTGTATTTTAGAACTTCGCAAAAGTGAAGACTTTTGAAAAAATTACCTTTGAAAATATTGAAAAGCCAGCTAGATGTGCCAAATAATTGCGTTGCATTGCCCTTTGTTTACTCTATCTGAAATCTATCAAAGGTCTTCTAAAAGTTGAAAATGAAGATTGTGAAAAATTGTCAAACTTGGACATAGTAAAAACCATGGGTTCGAAATTTCGGCGTTTATCTCAGTGAGCAAAAGAGTAATCGGCATGTGGGCTTGACATTTAGAAAGGAAAGGAAAAGATGCGTCGGGTAGTGCTTAGAGCGTTTCCCTATCTTTGCTCTACGTATTTTTATGATAGGTTGAAAAAACGGACAAAACTTTCGAAACAACCTAATATTAGGTTGAACCGAAAGTCCTGTCGCACCATTTTCAAAAAATCGTAACTTCTTCCTGTAACTATAGTTTTCCATTACAAAAACACTTTTAGGATTACTAGCTCATGTATTTTTTTAATGACACCTTGATTTCTCTTCCCCATGCTCTAATCGCATAAATAAAATTGGGGAAAACAAATTAGTTTATTTTCGAAATTTCGAGGCAAGATCGTTGAGAATTCCAAAACTGTGAAATAAAATCCAAAAGAGCAACCTAAGCTTTTTGATCCCCTCTTAGCAGAGCGTGCTAATCGAGCTCCTCTTTAAAAATTTATTTTCGAGAGAAAGTGCCAAAAAATCGGTTTCTTAAGAAACCGCTCACCTAGAAAAAGAGGGTCAGAAAATCTAGAATACTGGCTGTTTTGGATTTTATGGCGCAGTTTTGGGATTTTCAACGGCTTGCCTCAAAATTCCGAATCCAAAGTGATTTCCTTTTCCCATTTTTATCCTTGCAGTCAAAGCCTAGGGGATTGAGTTACTCTTCCTAGTTCTATTTTTGCCAAACAAGACTATTATGAAGAAAGAAGTTACGATTTTTTGAAAATGGTGCGACAGAATCTTCGGTTCAAGCTAATAGTTGTGTTTTCAACTTCCTTGATTGGGCATTTTGATTTTGTCTTGAAAATACCTTTAATCATGCTAAGGTAGAGCACTAGCTTATGTTACAAAAAATATGTAATATAGGTTGAAACGTCGATTAGAGCATTTTTTAGATGAAATTTTAGATTTTTGGTGCAAGACTCGTGAAGCAGATACATGAGTAGAAGGTCAAACAGTAGGGCAAACCTATTAAACCAAGTAGACCAAGATTTCCCAGACCACCGTAACCACCATAACCACCGTAATATCCACCGTATCCATATCCGGGATAGTAGCCACCTACAAATATTGTATCTAAGCTACCAGCTTTTACTAGCCAAGAGCTAGTATAACACTCTTTGTTAGAAAGAAACTCGCCTCTCCAGCCAAAGCTACGATAGCCGCCAAATCCTCCTCCTCCACCACCTCCTCCGTTTCGAAAGTGGGAATGAGAACCGAACGAAGGGTGTCCGAATCCCCGATCGTGCGAATGACGGCCTCTGTAATTCGAGCGATGTAAGGGCTGTGGTTCTTGCTACCTAACAAGGTTTCATTATATTTCAAATAAATATAAAGATTTTATGGTAACATTTACTGCATATAGGCTAATTTTTTTTACTTATCAAACATAAACGGGTCGAAGCGCATAATCGTCGCTTTGATCTAACTGTGGAAAGTAGTAGTACTAGCACGATGTTGGTATTTATGAGACTTTGGACATCTGATCTTGCACGAATATGCACAACAGTTTTCAGCGAGTTGCCATTATTCTCAGAAAAGGCCGATGCTGAAATGAAATTCACTCTGCTTATGTTAGTGTTTTGCTAGGGAGTTTTCATCTGATCGTTGATTTTTCCGACTGATGAGCTTCAATAAAGTTTTTGGGAAAACCTCAATAAAAATTTGTCCTCTTTGTAAAAATCGAATATGAGAAGAGATAATTCATAAAAATCGAATATGAGAAGAGGTAATAATCTTGAGAAGATACAGCGAGCATTTTGAAGTGGGAAAAAGGCGCTCAACATGCAGATTTCTGAGTTGTAAAATTTCTGAACAAAGCTGAAATCTGAGGTTGCAAGACAAAAAACTCACACTCACCCCCAGCCGCCATGCTCATGACCTCTCCATCCTCTGGGACCGCCTTGGGGACCGCCTCGGTGTCCACCGAAGCCTCCATGGCCACTAAAGCCTCGATGGCCTCCTCCCCAGCCTCCTCTGTGTCCTCCCAGACCGCCATGGCGGCCTCCTCCGAAGCCTCCCCGACTACCTCCGAAACCATGGCCACCATGTCCACCACCCCCTCCGTGATGACCGCCTCCTCCACCGCCACGTCTAGCTTCACATTCAAGCAGTAGTTCTGAAGGAAACTGGATAGTGCTCAAAGTGCAAAAATGAAAAGTCGAAATAGGTCAACTTACGAAGTATAATTAAGAAAGAAAGGATAGTTACAGATAAGGATAGTCTCATCGCAAACCAAACTTCGCGGTGCGTGCGCTACAAATCATTTAAAAGGTCATGTGCACCAGTGTAAAGTGATGTCGGAACGCACTCAAAAAAGTAATTAGGCCCGCAGTTCGGCCAGTTACTCGAATCAACATTCAAAAACACTTGCTTAATGGATTCACGCGACTTGATCTGATAATGCGAGTCAATATTTTGATTTTCAGAATTTTTTTTCGGCGATTACATAGATCTGCAAGAGATTGCCTCGGAGATGACTTTGCACTACGGCTTTAGTTTCACTACTTCTAGATTTTATTTTATGTTATTTGCTTACATGGGCAAGCCTATGTGGGCAATATAATGAAAGAAGTCAAATGCTGATATAGTTAAAACAACAACCAAGAACATGACAACAAAAACAGCAAGTAGTGAAAGAGAAACAATCAAACATTCAACAAAAGAAAACAATACATATAGGGAACTGTTCGATGGTCTTTAGGAATAGCTCTAAATTGAGGAAGTTTTACCGGAGCACCTGCATTCTGACAAGTTTGTCAAGGTCACGGGTGACCCCGTTTACGAAAATATTGTTCCTTGTATTCCTTCTTGTTCCAAATGATACAATCTTACTTGGACCGCCCCTAGTTACAGAGTTCCTGCGCTCAAAGAATCTCCCGAATTCAGTCGACAGCCTCCAGATGTGTACCATATTCAACTAATGGTCGAATGTAAATCTCATATTCTCGATTTAGAATTCCCATGCCATTAGTAGTAAAGGCTTTGGAAAGGTTATGTACTGCAACCTTACCTTTTCTAGCAATTTCTCACAATGTTTGTTGAAGGAGAGTTTATTATCCGGCAAAAATTAAAAGTCGGTCATCTCATCGGCATACTCTATCAGTTTACTACTTAACTGATAGAAGTACTTAATGTCATCAAATCCTACGTGCAGTACTTTTCCTGGAAAATGGGTAGGCCCCAATCTTTTGACCAACTGACCACGAAATTTAGAGCTCCTTGCAATTTCTTATCCTCGAGCCCTGATACTTTAAAGTTAAATCATCTGCAAATGCACAGCATGAAACCCCAGCATTGCAAACAAGTCCAGGTAGCTTGTAAGTGAAAAATGAATAGGAATGGAGAAAGAACCCCGCTCTGAGGTACTCCACTGGTCATGGATCTTTGAGTGGAAAACGCTTCATTCACACAAATTGTGAAAAGTGCGAAGAGACAGAAAGTTTGTTTCAACCATTCCTATTAGGATGGTGCGAAAATAATATCCATTTTGAAAGGTTTCACTCTGAAGAGTTATAACTTTGCTCAATCCTTATATCTTGAAATAGTCAAGACCATTAGAAGCAGCAGGCCTTCTCGTAACTTAGTGCACACCTGCTCATACTGATAGTGCAAACGGAAAGGAAACCATGCTTCAAAAATCGAAAGTTCTCCTTCAAAGACCTCATTTGCGAGACCTTACAAATCCTTTCAAGTTTTGTTCCTATAGCTTATAATCAGCTCATTTTGTAGCCGCAAGCCAGTAGTAGATGTATGTACAGAAGACACCTCAACGAAAGAGTTCTGCGAAAAGAAAAGATAAATTTCCAAAATTGTTCACCTTTTTGAGCCTCTTTGTGGTGGGCTTGAAAGTCCCAACTTATGAAATTTTGGAATTCTTCATGCACTGCATAGCTGAGTTTTTCTGCAAATATTGTCGTCAAAATGTTCTAATCTCAAGCTTACAAAAATGAGCGAAGCTTTGGCGAGATTGCCTTAATCATGGGAAATTTTCGACCCATAGAATGCCAGCAGCAAGTAATTATCTTGGGGACGTCGATTTCTTATTCCAGATATTGCCGCGAAATCTACTGAAACATGCAATGGGTAAGCAATATTCATCTCCTACAGATGCTATGTTTTCAAAAGAATTGTTTATTTACGGAATTGTGGCCAAGGAAGTTAAAACAACGAAACTTCAATTTCGAGTGCAGCTGTGCAAGATGCTGGTGAAATTTTCACAGATGAGGTAGAAGGTTATTTTTAGCACTGTTCGAAAGTACAAAGAAAGCTTTCCAATGATGTGCAAAATCTATGCCGAAAAAGAAATTTCGAAGGAAAAAGTTGTTCGGGAAGTAGGCCTAAGAAAATGGACGTTATTTTTGCACCAACCTAATAGGTTGTATACTTTGGTGCAGAAACTTTTCAAAGGCCTCAGTAAAATCGGTATATACAACTTCAGAGGCTTTGTCAACAACTAAGGAACGTGTTCAACAATTAAGGGTTTGCAGCATTGCCTTCACTGTGGACTTTCCTTTTTAAAACCAATGTGTGCCGGAGATATGATTTTATGAAGAACACGATGCTTTATTATATCTTTCTTCGATATTTTTTCAAACAGTCCTGCATAAATAGCTGTAAGGCTGATGAGAAGATAGTTGCAGGGACTGGCGTAAGGTTTCTTTTTGGAAATGGGGTCACAAAAGAAATCTTCCACCTATCTGGGCCTCGCATCTCATCAGGCTTAAATTGTATAAGAATTGTAAAAGATCAAATGTACTACTTTCTTAATGAAATGAAGCGGTGTGTGATCCTGTGTCAAGAATTTGGAAGTAGGCTACTTACGGAGAAGCTCACAAGACATGTTGTCATCAAAGATTACGAAATCCTTGATTACCTCAAAGCGGGAGGTAGCATGCTGCTGTGAATCAGTACATTCATATCAGTCCGCAAAGGCATGCTTGTTATTTTAGGTTCACGCAAATCACATTCCAGCTTATGCTTATAAATTTAATGATCTTAAAGTCAGTGTATCGGCACAATTTGGTATTCCAGTTTTTTACCTTTTGGAGCCTTTCCGCCAAGGAAACCATTTCTGGGCTTATGCGCTTGAAAATGGCGAAAATGAGGTTTTTTGCAATCAGTGGAGAAAAAGTATAGGTGGGCAGGACCCGAAACGAGGGGGCGGCTCGCGAAAGGCCCCCGTTTTCGTATCTTCACTGAATGCGGACCTGAAATGCTTCGAAAAAAGCTCGTTTTTGCCAGTTTCATGCCCTGAAAAGCCCAGATATGGATTTCTTATGGCAGGCAGGTTCAAAAAGGCGAACAACTCGAAAACGAAACTCTGCCGAGACACTGCATTTGAAATGATGGTACATGCAGTTCGGGCACTCAGGAAGTTTCTTAAAATGTATCTAACTAACCATAGAAGGTGATGCTGGCAAAAGTGTACCAAATGATCATTCCATGGATCATGTTGTTTGGAGTAGTTAATTTGGTCACATAACATTTGGTCAATGAAGACATCTAGGAACCGAGAGTTATAGATGGTAGACTGACCACGTCCTCACTTTCATTTAGTATAAGAAAAGTAAGATAGGTCGGAGGTAACTGTCGCTTTTTCCTCGCAATTTAGAATACAAACTTCGAGCCAAGTTAGGTATAATATATATGTGCCATGTAAACCACCCAAGTTTTTCACTTTTATTTCGAGAGCATATGGAGAACAGCCATATCAACCAGAGAATTTGAAAAGGAACCATGCAGCTCTTCGCCTTTGGTGAACAGTGAAAAATTCATGGGTACGGAACATGCAATCAAAAAGGCTAGCGAATACCAGAGCTTGCCTTAGCTCACAAACCAGCATTGGTGACTCCGTACATTGAACAAGACCATCTCATCGCCTGCGTGGGTGGCAAATTCTGAGCGATTCTGAGCGTCCCACAGTCTGAACTCATAAACAAAGACTATTAAGTCATACTCAGTGAAAGCTGTATTCTCAACATGAGAAATGTGATGGTGAAATGTCGAAGTAAACGGTAATCAAACGAATGGGAGATCTTACGAACAGAGGCATTGTTCAAAGCTTGGGGAACATTGACAGATTTATCAATAAGCCAAGCACGCTGCAAAGGTCTTTGTAATGAAGGCGAAGAAATGTATATGGAAGAGCTTCATGAGAATGTGGAGTACCAGGAAGGACAGTGAGAGACGCTTAAAAACAAGAAGGAGACCAGAGTCCATGCATGATATGGAGCTCTTCCTCCACCTCATTGATAGATTTGGCAGAACGTTGAGAAGGTTAAAAGACATCACTGAAAGATGAAGAAGTTATTCGATGAGATAGCCACCAAAATCACAGCGTTATCTCTTTCTCGAATTTGGTACCGTCCCGTTAACTACACGGAAGGAAAGGTACACCAGTAGAGAAGCGAAAATTGGCAGGACGGTTGTTAGGAATATTACCAAATGCGCTTATGTTCAAAAGTCTAGAGCATTTTGACTATGCAATTTTTTTAATCAAACCATACAAGAGTAAGCTCCTTGTCTTGTATATCAAAGAAGGATTACGATATGGAAGAGCAAAAGGGAATCCCTGAGGCTGGGTTCATACTGATTCCCATGTTCGGAACTGTTCCCGCACTGTGCTGGAACAGTTCCGGAACTGTGCTGCATGAGCTGCAACCGCCCCGCACGCGTTTTGGACGGCAGAAGTTGGAGAATTTTGATCGCTTTTAACGGTTTTTCTTCCAGATTCCTCTCATTTTGGCCTTATTCCTCTACCCTGCTTCCCTTTTTGATCAGCAGAACTTCGAACTCGAAGCGGGGTTGAAGAATGAGCGCTTTTCCGATCTGCATATCCGACAAAATGTTTGTTCTTCCAACCCGGCTCTAAGTTCGCAGCTTTTCTCATCACTAGGAGGAGCGGGGTAGAAGAAAGAACGGAGAAACAACGATAGGAAAAGAAAAAGGAAAGGGGCTGAGAATGCCCAAAAACGAAACTCATCAGAAAACAAGGGCAAAATTCCCATTTTCGCATTTTCAGAATGTTCGCATGTCCTAATTCGAGAAAGATGCCTGCCGAAATTACGCAGCGGCTTCCTGGAACAAATGGAAAGGTTTGAGCAAAAAAAAAACAAAGCGAGAATGGACAGAGCAAAAACAGACATTTTGTCGGATATGCAGAGCAGAAAAGCGCTCATTCTTCAACCCCGCTTCGGGTTCGAAGTTCTGTTGATCAAAAAGGGAAGGGGGTAAAGGGAAGGGGGTAGA